TTAGATGTGGCACAAGGCCGGAAATATGGAGTAACAAGTGAGGATCGAACTCATTACCGAGTCTTACTTGATCTAACGAGACAAGCTTGCTAACCATTACACCACATCGAAGTACCCAGATCCGACGTCCTATAATTTAAAAAAAAATCAAATTCACTTCAAGCAAATCAGTAAAGGAACTAAGGCACAAATGGTTAGTGTGTGTGAAAGAATTAGAAAACATTATGAAGGAGCGGGAACAATGGAAGACTAATCAGGAAGATGACGATTGACATTGGATTTAAATTTTTGAAGATTAAAGTTGGCTGGAAAGCATGGAGCCGGTTGCGGGAAGTGGAAGAAAAGAAACTATTAACATAGAACTTACGGTTATATCTAGCTAATGCAACTGTAAATAATTACGAATCTAGAACTACGCTTAAATTCATAAAGTCTAGGTACCGTAACGAAGAGCTCACCCGGGGCAATTACCATGAATTTATTTATAGAACAGGCATAGGAAAGCAACTTTATGGCGTTGTGAAAGTGACTGAAGCCGAGATGCCAGATCAGGACCAATAATATTTCTGATTCTCCTTTGGATTTTATCAAGCATCTCTAAATAAATAGCAGGGGTACTGAATCAAATGTGGCAGAAATATTCTAAGCATAGGCGAATGGTAGACTTATAGATATGTAAGATAAATTCTTGATAAAAAAATTGTCAAGTACAACAAAGGGAAGCCACTTTCTTAGCAGTAACTGAGCAACATTTACAAGAGCTTGCAATAAATATCATCATTCTATTATTGACGGTTTTTCTCAGTTTCCCGTCCTTTGGATTTATATTGAAGTGTACTCATGCGTTGGCTTTTAATACCTTAAACAGTTTGTATTACTCTTCTTCAGAACCTAAAAATAAAGAAAAAGCAAGAAAGAATTACATGAATGAACTTTAGTTCTGATTTTCGCTTTTTTTTTGTTTTGTACATTGTTTTGTAAAAAGAAAGAATATATTAGTACTACTCCGCGACTGAAATGCAAATCAACTATCCGATTCAATTTAGACCAGATCTAACAGTAACCAAACAAAAAACAACCCTTTTAGATCATCGACGTGGCTTTGCCAACGAATAGAGAGCGAAAACTAACGTTAACAAGTAGGAAAACAACCTCATTTCGTTCAGAAATTGAGAAAAGCGTGTGCGTTAAATGTTAAAGTCGGAGGTATTTTTAGTGGGTGAAAAAGAGTATAGCTGCGAGTAGATGAATTGAAAACTCCAAAGAAAGTTTGAGACTCTTCTGACAGCACCATCATTGACAATCGAATACTACTCATGATTTACAGGCCTTCTATTTAAAAATTTTCATATTGTGTGCTCAGGTGGCTTCCTACATCTTTTCTTTTGTAACTCTAAGCAACTTTTGACTTTGTTCCTAACACAAAATTCCTCTATTAAAAAACTTACGCACGTTTCTAGCTATTTTTTTAGACTCCCAGTTCCTTCAATATAACTTACGCTCAAATCACACTGAAAACACCGATCTTCTTTCGATCACCGTAGTTAAGCAACGTCAAGTCCGGTCAGTAATTAAATGTGGAAAACCGGGTACTGTAAGCGACGTTTTACAATTCGAAAATATTTCGGCTTTAAATGGCCGACAAAGGGTTAATAAACTGCAAAAAATCAAATAAATACTTCAATATATCCTATAAGTACCAAATTTTCCAAACCTTCTATCCTCTGGTTTCATTTCTGATTTTATGTATGTGTCAATTTTGAAAATATAATTCTTAAATATTTTTCTGATTGGTTATCATGCGCACAAGACATCAGTACTTCTCCCCACACACTCCATTCCTTTCTGTGTAAATGGCATAGCCGGGACCACACATACACACTGTTTATGATAGCATTACATATCTATATTACTAAAACCCCATACCCCCCCTCAAAGATAACTATCAGGAAAACAGAAAGGGTTTAAATTTCACTGCTATCTATTAAGGTCGATAGACAAAGTTAGATTTCTTAAGTCCTTTTACCGACATTTTGAATGTTTCGTAGCACTTAAAGTAATGAGAAAGAGAGGAAAAGCATTGCTAGCAAAACACACGAGAATATTTTGGAGCTGACAGATGCCTTAAGTCGACCCAATAAGGACTGTCCTGGATTACTCTAACCACCCAGAGCGATGCGGAAGAGGGGATATTCTTTATCGACACTGATACCTGTCAAGATTGTAGAGTTTATGTTTGAATTGTGGTGGGGTGTAACGGGAGAAATCAACAACTGGCGTGAAAATTAGTAAAACAGATTTATGAAGGGTAAAGATCGAAGTAGATACGTTTTCTTACGCAAATAATTTATGAGTTTCTCTCGCATCGACAGATCACACATTGACCAGCAAATAAAAATATTCTTTTTAAAGAACTCATAGAAGTCTTTCCAAAGGTAACACACCACATTTATAATAACGCGCACATATACACACAGACAAAAGAAGAAAACAGATTAACAAGGCCAGAATACACTCCTGTCTTCGTCTTTTACGTGCCGTGTCCCTTCAGGAAGATGGTGATCATGGCTCTCCACAATTTCCTATCCTTTGTAGTTCTTAGCAAATTTTGGCATTTTGCTTTCTCTACTGAACCCTGTCTTGCCATCCCTTTTCCCAAACTCGCTAGGTAGAACATGCGCTGTTTTCCTCTGTTCCTCTTGCCTTCAATATGTCCTGTCAGTATCAAATTTTCCAAGCCCTCTTTCCTCATTATGTACCCTAGAAATTTCAACCGTCTCTTTCTGATGTTAAGTATCAGTGTCCTTTTTAGTTACATTTTCTTCGTTGTTGCTCACTCATATGGTATCCTCAGCACCTTTCTGTAGTACCACATTTCTGTTGCCTCAAGTCTCTTCATCTGTGAGGATTTAATTTAAACAGAGTAATAATTGCAAAATAGGATAAGCACTCAATTGTTAGAGTTGATGCTTAGAGTAAATGAATTTTATTCGTGAGATCATATTGTGCGTTAGAATCCATTTTTAAGGGATGGGTGTTCCTAAATTTCCAACTATTTTCAATGAATTCAGAATTATATATATATATATATATATATATATATATATATATATATATATATATATATATATATATCGACGGATATGAAGCAACATGTAAATAATCAAATTTTGCCAACTTGTATAATTTTATTAAAGAAGGTTCGCGCGGGCCATTGTGAACAGCTTGAATCCTATAACTGGTCATATGCTAATATCTCTCGATGCCATAAAACTAACAACCTGCTAGTAACAAGATATAAAGATGCTTCAAAATACAACCAATAAAGTTTTTTTTTTCCGCCACCGATAAACACTTTTATTTAAGAAAACTTTAATGTAATATAGCAATACCGGTTGTAGAAACTGACGAAACACAATGATCCAGTAGTGGGCGGGTATTAGCAGGAAATTATATAAAACCAGTCTTTTAATTGTAAAATATCTGTTGAGGGGAATTTGAGAGGTTAGTATCTAAGAAATGAATATGGTTAATAACACAAAATAGGATTACATATTCTTAATAGCACAGCTATGCGTAGAATGTATTTGTAGAACACTGAATAAAAGAATCAAAACAAGTTCTGTGAAAGCTAGACATTTATTTTAGGTGATCATATTAGAATATTTGTTTTGGAATAACTATGGTACGGAAGGTACATTGATAAAGAAAAAAAAACTAACCCTAGACCACACCTCCATTTCAAAACTATAAATGAGTAAAACATTCCATACCGTAGTTATTCCAAAACAATGCTTGCGGATGAAACTGCCACACAGTGGTTAAGGTTTAATATTCGAATTAAACTTAAATACAGCTGACTAGTTTCGAAACAGTAATTTCTGTGTCGCGATGGAATCATATTTAAAAAAAAATAATTATAATCTAGGCTCTACTTGTGTATCGAGTAGTGTTTTTTAAAAATAAAACCAGAAATACTAAAGAACTTCGGATCATCAATCTAACAGTTCTTTCCTACTGTATCAATGCACGCACACACACACACACACACACACACACACATATATATATATATATATATATATATATATGCATTTAAACAGCAAACAGACTATCGTCTCTAGGTGTTGACATCAATGTACACGTTTTACTTACATGCGCTGTATTCCTGATGTTGAGCACTTTAATCCATAAATATGGCACACCTTAAAACTATCTCTCTCTCTCTATATATATATATATATATATATATATCGTAGGGCCATAGGGATCAACACTAACTGCATTTTCATTGATTTGTTTTGTATATTTTCTTTCCTGCACATTTCTTCTTGATTAAATTTTGTCAATTTAAATAAAATTTGTTTGATTTTGATTCTGTGATGTGATTTAGTCTTTTTGGCTATTATGTGATTGCAGTTTGCGAAGTAGAAATTTGCTTTCGTTTTTGCATTTGGAAATGAACTCTGTCTGTTAAGACGTCTCTTGTTTTGGAGATGTGTTTATGTCTATGCCTACTTAAACATAAAAAAAGTCATTTGTTAATTTTCTCTCAACGATTTGAGCTGCTCATCTGAAATATTTATTTGCGACCATGAGTGACGCAGGCAAAAGTAGATTATTAAAATAAGGTCCTTGTGGCTCGAATATCTATTATGGAAAAATTTTGCTACTTTGATAGTAGCTTTTGAGAAGTAGTGTTGAGTTTTGTGTCGAATATCTGGCGTTGGTACATAGTCTATGACAGTATAAATCGTCAGGATATGCTACCTGTAAGAATTGTGTTACTGTTCTAAGAAAAAACAGTAAGTAGGTGGTATTGAAAGTTACAGCCAAGTCCTTGGAATAAAAAAAAATCAGTGAATGTAAGTTTTTCTTATAGCCAGGTTGGAATAACAATACAATCATGAGGTGTGGAAAAACGTTACAACCCTTATTTGTTCTTTAGGCTATCCAGGAGACTTTGTTATTTCAATACAAGTATCAGTATTAATGGGGGCTTATGACCATACCGTGTTGAAACACCGGTTTCCATACAATCACTGAAGTTAAGCAACGTCGAGCCTGGTCAGTATCTAGATAAGAGACCGCTTGGGAATACCAGGTGTTGTAAGCTTGGATGTATTGTTGGTATAATGGATAATGGCTCGGAATATTAATCGTAGTATTAATGGGTAGAAAAGTGTCGCTAGTAAGTAGAAAAAAAGGTTTATGTGGAACGGCTAATACGTCTTCTCGCATAAGTTCAAGCATAACGAGGACATAACTTTATTTCTCCAGATTGGGATGCGCATTTTACATTTACATTCACACACACACACACACACACACACACACACACACACACACACACACACACACACACACACACACACTGATGTAACAGCAAAATTGTCCAAATTGTGTAGAAGCAAATTTGTCCATTTGTTAGTTTATCCTTTGAAATGATTAAAGGTATCTTACCGGAATTCTACAAGGTTTTTATAACACTATTGAACTCTACATTGAGCAATAAGAATGTATAATTACTCTCCAAGCTTAACAGAAGAATCGTGATGAAATCGATCATAAACGAAAATGACATGTTCATCATAAATTAATCATAGCCAAGGATCGGAAGCTCATGAAGGATTGAAATCAAGTATATATATATATATATATATATATATCAGGCCCTTTTTGAAAGAAGAACGGAGGCATGACGCAAAAGCTGGAGATGACGCCAAGGGCCATGACGGAAGATGGAAACTTCGTATGCTTCACGACGGAAACATCGTCGATGTCTTTGCAGATCCACCTGTCGTTCTGCCTGTTGCTTGTCTGGTCCTGGATGAAATTCTTTTCATCAGTGAAGAACCTCAGCACCACGGCGGACCCGTGATTGAGCTCGTTCAACAAAGCCGCCGCCTTGACATTCCTCGACTCCTTGGAGGCATTCGCGATGAGCATGCGGTGAGACTTGCGGTAGGAGGAGTAACCAATGTTCTTCTTGATCGTTTGGCAGATCATCGACTCGTGACAGCCCATGTCAGCGGCGATCCTGGCATAGCTCTGGCTTCCATCTTTGTCGACTGTCTCCTTGACGGCGGCGACGAACTCGTCGGTCCTAACTGCCGAAGAACGAACGTTGTGGGCCTTTCGTTTGGCAGTAAACTTGTCCTTGTTCTCACAAGCCTTCCACTTCCTCTAAACGTCCATGACCATGGTCCTCTTGAACCCAAAGTAGGCCATCACTTCCGCAGTCTTCTTCCCGGCGCGAAAAGAAGCTACTACCGCTGCTCTGCGCTCATATTCCATCCTGGAAAAGGGTAGAGAGAAAAACGTTGTTAAACTGTCGGGTACCTGCATCTACAACTTTTGTTTTTATTGCCTGTTTTGTTTTCTTTTTGTCAAGTGTTTTTGCTGCAACACCCTGTACTGAATTGTAATATCAGCCCTCCTGTCTGGCATTTAGCGTTGGACAATCTTCTCACAGATAAAGAATAGACTTGAAGCAATCGAAATATGGTTCTACCGGAGCATGCTGAGAATACCAGGAACTGAACATGTCAGCAATTTCGAAATTTTATGGAAATTGGAAGCAGAAAGGATGCTTATACTTAGAATCAAAGAGAAAGAGTTGACACTTTTCGGGTACATAATAAGGAAGGAGAACTTGGAGAATTTAACACTCACAGGACATATTGAAGACAAGATGAACAAAAGAAAGCAGCGAACAACCTACCTAACGAGCGTGTGTAAATGGTTGGCAGAACCGGTATTAGGATAATTAGCAAAAAGACAGTCATGATCGCTCACTTTATGAAGGACACAGTATAAAAAAGAATCCAATAGTAAAAAGGACTTATTGATCCAAGCCTATCGTATAAATATAATAAATATACAAACTATTAGGTTTAGTCCCAAATAAATTTCGTTTTTGTTTATCTATTTATTTCTGTAAAAAAATAAAGTACAATTTCACTACACGTGGATGTATGGCTGGTGTAGTTTCGGAAAGAGAAATACGCGTGCCGTGTTCAAATTCTGCCCAAGTTCGTTACATTCCTTTTTGCACAAATTGGTTAAATATTAGTTGAGCCCTGTAGGCGTGGTTAACAACCAATCTAGGAGAGGGCAATTCTGAATTCAAAGCCCTCACCTTGAGATACTGGGTATGTAGCTCTAATGACACGAGTCATTGAAAAGATTATGGACTTCACTATTGCAGCATGATGTTGTTTATTATTATTTATTGTGTTTCATGGCATATCATCCTCAATGGGTTATTTAATGCTGACAAGATTTTTAGGACAGGTTCATATAATAGAATATGCATTCTTTGTAAGAAATCAGTTTCTAGATCAGGTTTCCTTAACTATTTGCCCATACTTGTGACCATAACAGTTGCTACGAAGGTGGACCTGGGAAAACAGCAACAATTAAGAGGTGGCTCCACACTCTTCAAAACCTGTCGATCAGAGGCCTTGGATGTAGTTTATCGTCATACTCAGGACGGGCGTTGAGTTGTGAACTGAGGTCGAAGAAAAATGCTTGTATTTTATTGACCTTGTTAATTAAAGAAATTAGCAATAAATTCATACCCTATGGCAAAAATTCTCGAACGTTTTTATTCTATTAACTTAAACATTTTATATTTATTCAATTGCCCTAAAGTTATGTAGCCATACCCCTGATAACCCAGAATTTAAAAAAAAATACATCTATCCTATCCAATGAAATAAAGCCACTACGCTAAATGCACTAATGTATTGTATATATTCTATAATGATATTGCAACAATTCGGAGTTGGAAAACAATTATGAATCAGTTAGCAATAAAAACTAAGGAGGGTGAACCTTTTTTTTTGTCACCTAAATTCTCAGTGCGTAGTTTTGTCATTAACAGTGCAAACTGCTAGTCTGGAACCGTGTGGGGACAAGCTCGGTATTTGTTTTTCCTTTTATTTATTGTCGAAAACCTTGCTTTATATAAATATGGAGTGAAACATTGGGACAGAACTTTCAGAGCTCTCTTGTACTTGTTTTGGGTACGTACCACTCTTTTTGTGAAACGCACATAAATATTTTTATATAACTTTCTACATTTTTTCTTCTTACAAATATGCCGGTTCTCGTTTGATCACCAAAGTTAAGCAGCATCGATCCCCGTCAATACTTCGGGCACTCTAAGCAAATTCTTAAAACCTGAAAATGTTTCGGTTTTATATAACTTACAAAGTCTTGATAAACCGTAAAAAGCAAAAAAAAAAAAAAAAAAAAAAAAACAAAAAAACAAACAAAAAAAAATATGATAAAACAAATAAAATATTGTTACCAATGACAAAAAAAAACAAAACTTCGATAACAAAATTCACTTTTATACTAGTTTATTTCTTTTTTATTCGTCAAGTGTCGATTTGTGTATAGAACATTTCTGGCTAGATCGAAAATGCCTCCATTACCCAACTTAAAAGCAAGTAATTATCCAGGGTCTGAGAATCGCTGTCTTAAAGTATAGTGTCTTCGACCACGATAATTTGAGGCAGGTTGCAATGAACCTGTAGTGCAAAAAGGTTGTTTTAGAGCCCAAGATGACCATTCTTATTCTAACATGCGTATTTATAGAAAGAATTTAATTGTCACACCCATTCGTAGGTACTCAGTTGGATTCCGATACTTATTGCACCTCTCACATTCTCAATCTTACGAGATCGGTATGAAGGCAATCTGTTGCTAATTCGAAGGCATATGGCAAGAAAACTTGTAGCTTCTACTAAAATGAGACCAATACAAAAAGAAAGAAACTAACAATAGTCTTAATATGACAAAAAAAAAAATGAAACTATTAGGCGACCTATTCTGGAATCGAGTTAGGGGAACGGTAGCCACAGTGAAACAAGCATAAAAGTGGCAAGGACTAGAGGAGTGTTCATCTGTCAGTTGGTATTTTGTGTTTAAATTCACGGCTAGCGTGTTTAGGCAAAGTGATCCCTTTCTCTAAATGAAATTGAACAGAAGCCGCCAAATCTTATGGTTTTCATGGCGTCAAAGGAAAGAAAAGACCGTTAAGTGCCGGAAGAAAACTTATAATTTATAGTTAACCTTTTAGCGTCCATTATTCCACTCGTAAGACACATCTTAAGATATACTTATTTGATACCATACGAGCATTAATGTTGATATGGGACATGTTACAAACCTACATTTCTTTCAGGCGTTTAGGTATCAGTGTAATTTTTTGACATGGCAGTTAAAACACATACATACTCCCCATAAATTCTTTGCATCCTGGCTCGCAAACTTGTTATTCTTTTATGTGGCGTGAACCCTCAGGACTTAGGCGATCATGGCTTTCTACATCTTCCTGTACCTTGTAGCTCTTAATAAATTGTCTTTTTATTATTTTTCTAAAAACCTGTTCTACCATCCATTTATTCAAGCTCATCAAACTGCTTTCTTCTGTCTAACTTTTCCTTAATCTGTCATGTGAGTATCAAGTTTCCAAGCCCTCCTTTCTCATTATGTGCCCCAGAAATTTCAAATTGCCTCTTGCTGATGTTATGTATAAGTTTCCTTTTTTTTTTCGTTTTTTCCAAAACCTCGTCGTTGCTCACATGTTTGGTCTTTGGTTTATAAAAACTATACCAAAAGTTTATACCACATTTCTGTGTGTTTTACAATTTCCCCGAAATATCAGGTTGCATTCCGGGTTCTGTTTGCAAATAATGTATATCATAAAAAATATTTCAATTCTAAACAACAAATTACGTAATGCAGGAACTTCTACTGAAGATGCTGAGATTACCATGGACCAAACATGTGTGCAATGACGAAGTTTTAGAGAAAACGGAAACAAAAACAAACATCCTTAATTAACATCAGAAAGAGACAGTAGAAATTTCTAGGTTACATGATGAGGAAAGAGGGCTTGGAAAATTTGATACTTAAAGTTGAGATTGAAAACAAAAGGGACAGAGGAAACCACGCATAACCTATCTAGCAAGCTGGAGTAAATGGATGATGGAACAGGTTTTAGGAGAGATAAATAAAAGCAAAATTTAAGACGTACAAAAGACAGGATAATGTAGCGATCCATGATCGCCGGCGTCCTGAAGGGACACGAGAAGAAGAA